CAGCCATAAAGGACTGCTATCTGGACCGTAATGAAGGACATGGAAAGCCTGTTTAAGTAGATGTACAGTATACACACTGCAGGCTGTATTTATTTGAGACCACACACAGCACCGTTGCTAGGTTACATCAGGCTTCTAAGCATGTTGTTGGCGGTGTGCACGTCTACTTCTGATCGTCTGTTTCCAGATCTGTGTCTCTGAATGGCTGCTGGTGACGGAACGACAGAAGACAACAGCACCAAAGTCACCTTTTACACGTACGACTGTCGGGTTTTTACATGTTTCCAAAACTTTCTTTACACGGTTCATCGGCCAATCACATGGCAGCAACTCCAAAGGCATCGAGACCAATTGATGAATTTCAAACTGGGAAGAACGGAGCTTTTTAAATGTCATACAAAACTCATCTTTGCATCTTTTGTGCTGCTATGTGGGTCTCTACTGCCTTTATAAACTCCCAAAACGTGAATAAGAACAAGGAATGCACAGATATGAAAATATGGGCTAATATCGATTTCAGATTATGTTTTTATGCCACGTTCCCGAAGAAACCAACATGGCAACCCCCCCGAAACACACATGTAAATGGCAACGAGATAGAAATACACATCCGCCCAGTTTTAGTTATCGGACTGATACCATATGTTCACAAAAAGACAAACATCACCAGACATCGATGTCGATGCTAAAATATCGCATATCCCCAACAAAAAATGTCAATCTGTGCTCATTTTCATGTTCAGCCTGCATGAAACACTCAGAGTGACCCGTTAGAATCAGAAGCAATAATTTAAAATGTTTTTTTTTTCAGTGAAGCCGACCTTTAAGAGGACTTTGAAAGTGGAATGGTTGTTGGCCAGAGTATTTCAGAAACAGTTAAAAGTTTAACCCTAAAAACCTCCCAGCCAGAGCTTCCTGATGCTGGAGGACGGCAGCCCAGAGACCTGCAGAAGCTGAATGTAATAACCTCAGCTAAAACGCTTAACTCTCAGGTTTAACAGGGTCACCATCATTCCTCCAGAAAAAACAGATTTTCTTTTTTATTTTACTTGTGAAACGTGACAAATTTGTTGATTTAACTTAGCGGTTATCATGTTGCAACATTTCTGCATGATTGTCCTCCATGTCTCTGCTAGCAGAACATAAAGAAAACACGATGTGCGTTCCCTCTAAATCTCTTGTAAACTTTGGAGGGTTCCTCATTGATTACACTGATGCTAAAGAGTCTCCGATTTACACACACATAGATAAAGTATGAGTAAAGTAGATGAGGAGCGTTGGGGGCTCAGAAACAGCAGAACATGGAGGACAGGGAGAAAACAGGCTGGTAATGAAGTACCCACCACTAGTGGATGAGAGATAAAGTGGTCTAACAGATCTGTCAGGCTGCTAGACTGTGGCTAATTATCTCTCCTCGTCTTTATCTGCATCAACTCCTCCATCACTTCTCTCTTCATTTTCCTCTGCCTTACATGTTATTTTCTCTCCATTCTTTTGGCTCGGCATCTCTTCGTTCTCTCTCCAGCTTTCTCTTGTCTCTCTTTCCCTCCGTCTGTTGCTCCTTCCCATTCCCATCTGTCTCCTCTCCACGTCCAACCCCTCTCGTCCCTCCTCTCTCTCTCTCTCTCTCCCGTTTCTGCGTCGTCTATTTCTAGATGAGATTGGGCGTCTGGGCCTTAGTGTTTGATTTGCAAGTCAATAGTCATTTCTGTCAGAGAGTTTAAGTTGAGGGAAGTTTTAATGTGGCCTGTATTATTTCACACAGGAAATGATGCATTTGCATGAGAATCCTCTCTAGATTTGCTCGTTTTTCTCTCCTCTCACACAAAAGTAGCCGCAAGTTCAGGTTTCAAACCTCCAGCACGGGCTCGGAGCCTTTGTTAGACTTTAAATGAACCACTGACATCAGAACATTATAGCGCAGAATAAGTTTTCCTCAAAGTCAAACACATTTATTATTAACTACATTCAAACACTCCACCATCCTGTCTGTTCAAGATATGTCAGTAAAAGTGGATTTTACATCGAACTGTGATTGTTAGGTTTTCACAAACAGTGAGGATGAGAAATACTCAATGATGCTGTCAGGATGCAGGAGAAACTTTAGCGGCTTTTTAGGCATGTTTTAAAAACAGTCATGCTTTAAAATCTTTACAGCTGCTAATCGGAGATGCATTGTTGGTCAGTCAGCATGTATTATGTTTTTCCTAAAAGCTTTAGCTGTAAAAGCCCATTACTGTCAGCTAAATTAAATAAAGTTCATTAAGTCAGCATCTTGTTGGGCAACGGCGGATGGTGATATGACCAGAATCTCATTGTGCAATTACAATCTCTCAATATCGTGCATTTTTTGTAAATCTTGCGAATAATTTTAATTTTCACACATGGAAAGTGCTACTCCTTAGTTAAATTTAAACAATATAATCAAAACTGAAGTTTAGTTTTGAATATTTGAGTCGTTTAACTTGTAAACGCACCTTAAACCGGTGCCGGTTGGCTGAAAGTAAGGCTAACTCTACTTTAAGTTTATTTCTATAGCAACAATTCACAATAAGAGTAGTCTCAAGGCACTTTACTAATATTCCAGTTGGTTAAGTTTGCCACCTAAGGAAACCCAGCAGATTGCATCGAGTCACTGACGGAAAACACAAAAACGGGGCTGTGAGGGTGAGAGCAGATGATTGACACCCATCAAACACTGCGCCGATGTAGCTACAAGCTAGGGCTGGGCGATATGGACGAAAACTTATATCTCAATACTTTTTAGCTGAATTCCGATATACGATATATATCTCGATATTTTTCCTCCTGTAAAATATTTACAAGTTAACTCACTTCAAGCTGTCTTGAGAAATTATACATAAATCAGAAGATTAAATTCATAAAAATGTATTGATTCTTGTCCAACTTTAACCTTAGTGTCCATTCTCTACCAGTTTGAGCTTTAGAAACACTGGTACAGCTGTCTGTTAACACACGCACGCACGCACGCACGCACGCACACACACACACACGCACACACACGCACACGCACACACACACACACACACACACACACAGTTGAGAGGTGTATCAAATGTCCCACAGGCACTTTTTATTTATATATGTATAATTAATGTACAATTATTTAAATGTCATCTAGAGGTGGCCATATTGTATATTTATTGTCCAGAGAAAAAAAAATCTGTCATGTTAAACTAAATGTATGATGATGTAATTGCATCTACTAAAGATCACGTGGGTGATGCACCGTGGAGTTATTAGTTATCAGGGCAAACATGGCTGGAGTCTAACAGTATTGACTCATATCAGCGATTATACTGTAATGACTCAGAGTCTCTGGTTGCTCTTTTATGGGGATTATTTCCGGGCTTCTGTCGCCGTAACCCACGCCTTACAAACTCTTAACTTTTTCAACAGAATCGCTCGTAACGGAGTATTTACTAGCATAGCTAACCGGAGCGGAAAAAAACAGAACCGGAACAACATTTCTCACCCGTTGAGCTTGCCTTCAAAATAAAGCGTTAACCCTCTAGTTTACTATTCAAACCCTTACAATACGTTTGAGGTAATTTGGCCACTCTGGCTATCCGTAGATGTTTCCCGATTACACAGGGGAGGGAGGGGTTTGGCTCCAATCCGCATGAGCAGAATGGATAAACAGAACTCCGTTGTTGTTGAACGTCCCCAAATAATTAAAAAGCAGGACGCTGAATGCAAAGTTTAGAGCAGCACATTTACCCAGAGGCTCTCAGAGCAAACTTGTGAGAATACACGTAATAACCTGCTTAGAGATGGAGCAACATGTCGCTAGCATAGCGGCTAATCGCTAGCATAGCAGTTTGACCAGTCATATCAATATAAAGTCATCTTATATCTTGTTTAAAAATTATACCGATATCACCCAGCCCTACTACTACAAGCTAACTGAGCTAACCGATGCCAACAGAGTTTGGTGGGTGTTTTTAGCCAGAAAAGCGTGGTTGAGCGACTCTGCTCTCTAGACTGTAACACTTTTGATCTGAGGCCTTTCCTAGAACAAGCCGTTAACGCTAGAGGTAACGACTCATCTGCTACCTGTCAATCAAAAGGACACACCCCTAAGTATTCATAACTTCAAGCTTACTTTACATCTAAATGTACGAGTTACAAATTCACCCCCTCACATTTGTCATGACAGTAAACGTCACCTGTTAAACCTAAAATGGTGTTTTGAACCAGGATGTAAACTCGTTTATTTCTGCAATGAAGTTAGCATTTTTTCCATTGAGAGTCAATGGGAACTTGTTCCTTTCTGGAGCCAGCCCCTAGTGGAGGAGAGGGGAACTGCTATTTTAGTCACTTTTGGCCGCTGGGGCTTCCCCTTTGGCAACGACCCACTGGGGTTTTGAGAAGACACACACAAATGAAAAACAACACACAGTCTCTGCGTCTCGTAATCAGATACTTCTTTGCCGTTTCTGTTTCACCCACAGAAGCCCAACATACCTGCTCCAGGTGCTTTTACTAAACACGAACAAATCCAGCTGGCTGTTTTAGAATCTTAACTGGAAAAAAGACTCAGGAGGTGTCACTGACCTTTAGAGATGTGCATTGCTGCACCTGTGTGTCATTTTTATGTGTGCAGCAGCGGGAGATCTTACAAACTGTTCATGCAGAACACCTAAAACATACTAATCATAACATGTATCTAGAGTTTGCATTTGGTACTGAACATTTCTGCACATACGAGTTAATTTCTTAAATAACTGAAGTGGGTTTGACATACTCCTAAAGTTGGCAAAAATCACAAATGGCAGGACTGTGTTCAGTCATGTTTTATGCATCTTTATGTTCGACAGACCCAGAATGTTGATGTTGGACCTTTTTCGTACATACTGCATCACATGCGTACATTTCGTACATGCACTGAAAACATACTTGTGATTTCCGTTTGAGTCTGAGGAAAAAACAGCAGAAATACACCAGAAACAGGATCTTATAATGAAGCCCACGCTCACCTGTCTGGCTGTGCCTGGTTCTGAGAAGCCGGCGGTGCTCTAAACTTGTTCACTTTGGCGTAAAGTCCTTCGACGTCCTCAGGGGTCATCTGGAGTTGGCTCTGCCCCCCAGCTGGTATTGCTGGGGAGGGCGTGCGACTGGGGGAGTGCGGTGATAGTTGCTGCCGGAACTTGTTGATGCGGGCATAGTGCGGGTCACTGTCGTCGTCGTCCATATCAGGAAGAGACCTCTGGTCAGGTGTTGTGTAGCCAGAGAGGGCCTCAGCGACGCGGGGGTCATAGCTGTTGGAGAGACGGGGGTGAGGCTGTTAGGGTCAGCTGCACACATTATTATAATTTATTTATTATTCATTTTTATAAGCAAATATTTTTTCTTTACCCATCTCTGTTGTCAGGAACTCGGTCTAGCTCTTCCTCACTCAGAGAATTCAGTTTGGTTTTGGATCCTTTGTTCTTGTCGTCCTTCTTCTTACCGAACCTGAATGAGACAAACGAGGCAATAAGGATGATTAATCTTAGGCCATCTTAGTCGTCCCAACCCCTCTTCCCTAGAACCCTCTGTCTCGCCTCCACTAAAAGGTCCCTCTGCCAATGTGTCTGGACTTTGGGGCAACTCAACCCCATGCTTGAAGGAAGGAGGGTGAATGCTATATGGGCAGAGTCCTTGTATTTTCAGCAGTTGCCATAGAAGACTTCTATTGAAGATGCAGGGCACTGTCCACTAAAGCTTAAAACGAAATTAAGTTCATTGGTGAGCCTTTATGATTCAATTCTCATGTGTTTTTGCGACAGTCGTTTGCCCAACATCAACTACCAAACTTTTCTACTTCCGTCCTACACACCAAGTCATCCTCGTTAAAGATCAAACAAACAGCAGTGTCATCTGCAAACCTATTAACATGACTGAAACGATATCTTGTAAAACAGCATCGCTGTATACAGGAGGGGGCTCAAGACGCATCCTTGTGGAGCGCCGGTGTTACTTTTCCTCTGTTTTGATTCACTAAAGGTTTGTGTTTTGTCAACCAGTTTTCTTTTCTGTAGCAAATGTTCATTTTTAGGTAAAATGTCATGTTTTTCAGAGAAAGTTCTTTCGAAGATAGGTTTTTTTTGTAGTTTTCTTTTGCTAAACTTTAAAAAATATTCTTTATTTCTTTTATTTCCTTTGATGATACTACTAGAGCTTTTCCCTATGAGCCACCAATCTGCCGTGTGTACTTTTACTTTGAAGGTGAGGTTTATGTGCTTAAACAAACCTTGTCGGGAAACCTTTTGGATGAAACAACAAATATAACCCAGGCAACATAGCTGCAGTTTGTATAAAAGTAAACTAAACTTGTATATCATGAACCTTACAACACACTTTTTAAATGTTGATACAAACTCATTTCAAGGATGATGAATTCATTAGTTGCTTTGCCTGAAAACAGGACTTTTTACAGGTTCAGTTGTTATATAGCATTTAAATACTTCAACAATTTAGTCAGTGAATTTTTATCCTTTCCTCCATCAACTTCAATATTAAAGCCACCGTGGCTCAGAGGAGCTTATTCTCTCATTCTCTAGTGGAAATAAACTCCTCACCTCTATTCGAGTCATGATGAAGCTATACAGGTGCTGGCCAGTAAATTAGAATATCATCAAAAGGTTGAAAATATTTCAGTAATTCCATTCAAAACGTGAAACTTGTACATTATATTCATGCAATGCACACAGACCAATGTATTTCCAATGTTCATTACATTTAAATTTGATATTCATAAGTGACAACTAATGAAAACTCCAAATTTGGTATCTCAAAAAATTAGAATATTCTGAAAAGGCTGAATATAGAAGACACCTGCTGCCACTCTAATCAGCTGATTTACTCAAAACACCTGCAAAGGCCTTTAAAAGGTCCCTCAGTCTTGTTTTGAAGGCACCACAATCATGGGGAAGACTTCTGACTTAACAGCTGTCCAAAAGACAATCATTGACACCTTGCACAAGGAGGGCAAGACACAAAAGGTGATTGCTAAAGAAGCTGGCTGTTCGCAGAGCTCTGTGTCCAAGCACATTAACAGACAGGCGAAGGGACGGAAAAAATGTGGTAGAAAAAAGTGTACAAGCTCTAGGGATAACCGCACCCTGCAGAGAATTGTGACGACAAACCCATTCAAAAATGTGGGGGAGATCCACAAAGAGTGGACTGCAGCTGGAGTCAGCGCTTCAAGAACCACCACGAGGAGACTCATGAAAGACATGGGATTCAGGTGTCGCATTCCGTGTGTCAAGCCACTCTTGAACATGAAACAGCGCAAGAAGCGTCTCGCCTGGGCCAAGGACAAAAAGGACTGGACTGATGCTGAGTGGTCCAAAGTTATGTTTTCTGATGAAAGCAAGTTCTGCATTTCCTTTGGAAATCAAGGACCCAGAGTCTGGAGGAAGAGCGGAGAAGCACAGAATCCACGTTGCATGAGGTCCAGTGTAAAGTTTCCACCGTCAGTGATGGTGTGGGGTGCCATGTCATCTGCCGGTGTTGGCCCACTCTGTTTCCTGAGGTCCAGGGTCAATGCAGCCGTCTACCAGGAAGTTTTAGAGCACTTCATGCTTCCTGCTGCTGACCAACTTTATGGGGATGCAGACTTCACCTTTCAACAGGACTTGGCACCTGCACACAGTGCCAAAACCACCAGCACCTGGTTCAAGGACCATGGTATCCCTGTCCTTGATTGGCCAGCAAACTCGCCTGACCTTAACCCCATAGAAAATCTTTGGGGTATTGTGAAGCGGAGGATGCAATACGCTAGACCCAACAATGCAGAGGAGCTGAAGACGACTATCAGAGCAACCTGGGCTCTCATAACACCTGAGCAGTGCCACAGACTGATCGAGTCCATGCCACGCCGCATTACTGCAGTTATTGAGGCAAAAGGAGCCCCGACTAAGTATTGAGTGCTATACATGCACATTCTTTTCATGTTCATTCTTTTCAGTTGGCCAACATTAGAGAAACAAACATTTTTTCATTGGCCTTTAGAATATTCTAATTTTCTGAGATACCAGATTTGATGTTTTCATTGGTTGTCACCTATAAATATCAAAATTAAACGTAATAAACATCGGAAATACATTGGTCTGTGTGCATTGCATGAATATAATGTACAAGTTTCACGTTTTGAATGGAATTACTGAAATATTTTCAACCTTTTGATGATATTCTAATTTACTGGCCAGCACCTGTATTTCACACTTTAGAGAAATTAACCAAGTCTTTTCTGTTAAATATTTCATATCCCTTCGTCTCACCCACTCGTATTTTCCTCTCACCCTCTCCTTCCCTCTGAGCTCCTGCTGAGCCAATCTAATGTCTGTGTTTATCTCATTAACAGCGAGGCACTTCTCATTACTGCTACAGGCAGATACGTGGTCTGAATGCTAACCCCAGCAGCCTGGCCGAGCGGAAACCTGGATAGAGATGCCACATCGGCCTGGCAGCACCCTACAAACCAATTAGTGCTTCTTTCTGATCAAATACCAGCTCCACTTTTACCTGAATGTGTCATTCTTGACACACACCACAGGTCAGATTTGAACATTGTTTATGATTTTCTGAGAAGAATACACAAAGAAATCTATTTATATTCTTTTAATCTGTTGTTTAAAAACATTCATGACACTTTCTGGGCTTAACAAAAGCTGCTCATACATCACGTGTGAAGCAAAGTAAAGTCTGGGTGAAACTGCTTTCAGTATCTGAGACTACAGCTAGATCTTTGGGTGTCTACAAGGGTTTTAATAGAGTCATTTAGTCCTGCAGGCCAGTAAAGTTAAAGGTTTGATAAAGAAGACTTCGTGAAGGAGAGCTGATTAGCTTGCAAGGCAGTTCAATAGCCCAAGGCTTTCAATTTGTGACTAAAACAATGAAGTTTGGAACAATTACCATCCTTTAGTGACAACTAGGAGTGGATTTAAGGTATGCAGATGTTAGTCACTCTTCTTGTGATTTAGATTTGCTCAGTCGTGAAAAGTTAGCTCTTTCTTTGGAGAAGATGAGAATCTTACATGAAAAATGTGAGATTCCTGAGTTTATCTTCAACCTTTAAAATAAACTCTCATAGATAATTTTTTGCATCCCATCTGTCTTAAGCACTGAGTCTGCTTTGATTAGGGTGCTAAATGACATTCTGGTGGCATCCGACTCTGGATCTAGGGTACTGCTGCTCTAGCTGGACCTTTCAGTGGCTTTTGATACGGTCGATCACCATATTTTATTGGACCGGCTTGGGTCTTGGCTGGGGTGACGGGGGTGGCACATAAATGGTTCCGCTCTTACCTATCCAACCGATCCACCTCTGTCCAGATTGGTAATTGTGCATCCTCCTGTCTCTCACTGCCTCAGGGGGTGCCACAAGGTTCCGTTCTTGGGCCATTGCTGTTTTCTATCTACCTTCTGCCTCTGGGCAAAATCCTGAATCAGCATGACCTGAGCTATTACATTTACGCTGATGACTGTCAATTATATGTAGCAATGGATGACAAGAATGCGAGCTCGCGATTGGCTGCATGTTTAGACGACGTGAAGGGCTGGCTGGCATCCAACTTCTTAAAGTTAAATGAAACGAAGACTGAGTCTATTGTTTTTGACCCCCGCAACCACCATGGCTCTCACCCCGTTTGTGACCTTTTAACCCTCAACCCCAAACAGTGTGTGACAAGTCTCAGGGTAAATCTGGATGCTGAACTCTCAATGGCCCCACAGATAAACTCCGTAATGAGGTCTTGCTTTTATCAGCTTCGCCACCTGACTCGCCTCAGACCAATCTTGAAACGGAGGTATTTGGAGTCAGTCATCCATGCCTTCATTACCTCTCACCTGGACTATACAAACACCCTCCTAGTTGGTGCACCGGTCTCTGCCCTGAATCGGTTGCAGGTCGTCCAGAATGCTGCTGCCAGGTTCTTGACAGATACGTACTGACGTAGCCATATTATCCCTGTCCTGGCACGTCTTCACTGGCTATCTGTCATTTTCAGAGTAAGTTTAAGTTATTGGCTTTTGTATTTAAAGCACTTAACGACCTGGCACCTCCCTATCTCTCTGACCTGCTCACTCCATATGTACCCACGAGCACATTGAGGTCGGCTGACCTCCTGCAAAAGACACTCAAACCCCTCCACCACGGTAAGGTGGCAGCCCAGGGAGAGGTTTTCTGAGGTTTTTTGGTAAAACCCTTTTTACATGTCAAATTCTGATTTGTTAGTAAATGAAAATACGACGACTATTAAAACAGAGCTCACTTCTCTGTGAGTCAGTTCTTGAGAAAGCTTCAGACCAGCCATCCGGAGCGAACCTCTTTAACCCAGAGCATCCTTTGACAAGCTGTCAAAAACCTGTTGCAAGCTACAGCTGACCGCAAACGGTTCCTTCAGAAGAAAGCTGAACCACCTTCGACTCCTTAAGAGTCCTTCCATAGATGCAAATAACTACCTGTTGTG